GACAACTTTGCTTCTTCCTGGCTGTATCAGCTAGTAATAACTCTGGCTCCTATAGTCAAGTAAGGTATACTTTATAAGTATATATTCTCTGGTTGCTTTTTCCTGCTGGCGTTGCTTTTTTTTGGCTTCTGCTTGTTGCTTGTGAAGGAGGCGAATAAAATAGAATAAAAGATGGGATGGGATGGGCAAGGCCAGAAGAGAGTTAAGTTACACTTCCAGTCCAGTCCATGGCCAGGGAGTCGGCGTCGTGGAGTTAACCTAGTTGAAGCTGGATGTTGATATAGATGTGATATCGATAGTCGATATCGATAGCAACAAGTGCTCAGTAGAGACGAGACAGAGAAGAATGCTCGTGCCGTCTTTGCCTGCCTTGCCCTCCACCCGCTTATCTCTCTCTCTGATAGGCCAGGCCAGCACGGTGGATGGTGGACGGTGGACGGTGGACGGTGGACGGTGGACGGTGGACGGTGGACGGTGGACGGTGGATGGCGGATGGCGGATGATGATTGATGATTGATGATTGATGATTGATGATGACAGCCAGGCCAGGGCGATGACGATGGGATGATGCGACGGCGGCGGCCGAGGTTAACAAGATGACAGCCTCTGACTTCATAACGGCCTTGCCTTTGGGCTGCCAGGGATGCCGCCTGAAGACGCCAGGCAGGCCAGGCAGGCCAGGCAGGCAGGCTTGCTGGTGGGCCGCTCTCTTCTCTCTGCTGAAGGCGTCTGCATACATAGGACTGTGACCAGCCGTCTCCGCTGGTACCCGTAGTACTGTCAGTAGACTGTCAGACAGCTGGACAGCAAGATAGACAGCAGAGAAGTCGAGATAGAGATCTGACATGCTTGAGAGGATCAGCCGAAAGTCAAGAGAAGCTCAGAGTTAGGGACGAGGACGATGAAGAAGAAGACCTACAGCCAGGCGGGTGGACGGATGGACGGATGGTCCCCCTGGCCTCGACTTCTTCGTCTTCCGTCTTCGTCTTCATCTTCATCTTCTTTCTTGTCCTCGTCCTGTCTTCTTCCTCTCCTCCATCTTTCCCCTTGTCCTTGTCCATCCCTGTCCCCTATCCCTGCCCTCTAAGTGATGTCTGTCCTTGTCTGCATATTCTTAGCAGCAAGAGTTAAGTCCATCCTGACGCTCATCCCCGTCCCATCCCTGTCCCTGATGCGCCTTTTTTTTTCTTCGCTTTTTCGCTTGCTGGCTCGTGGAGAACGGCCGACGGAATACGAGGATGGCTTTCTTCTGCTAAAAGCCCAGAACCTTTCTGCTCCTCTGGAAGAAGATGACGAGTTTGAAGATTTCCCGGTAGACTTCAAACTTCCTGACTTTCTCGCCGTGGCCATGGCTGTGGAGTGCGGTCAGACCTCATTCTCTCTCTCTCTTTCTGTCTGTCTGTCTGTTCAGTTTGCTCTGGTTGGTGGTTGGTCGACGGTCGAGGTTGGGCTGTTTCAGCCTGTCTGCTGCTCTCCTGGGGGGGTTGATACTAACAGACAGACTAATGCATGCACGGCGAAAGAGGGAAAAGGTCAAGAAAAGAAAGCCTTGCTGGTTGTCGATGTGTCTGTCTCTGGCTATCTCTCAGGATTCTTCGGAGGTTTGGCTGACGGGCAGATACGAGTTACGCCGTGCAAGATGAGATACTTAGAACATACATACTCCGTTCCTGGTACTCCGTAGATGTATAATTTGCATTTGACCCTAAGTATACTTAACTTCTTCAGATGGAGCACACTCAAGGTGCATGTGGTTTATAGTTCTTTTTTTAACTAATAATGGATCAGCGGGAGGGCGTGAACCCGTTGGGACACGACAGTCAGTATTTTATTATTATTATTATTATTACGCTTTACTCTGTTGCACCTTAGAGCCCATCCCATGCATCGATGCTTATCCTCTGCAGGATGCAAAAAGAGGGTTAAGGTAGATACCGCAGAAAAGCGTGCTGGAGTCGGTGAGCCATGCATTAAATCGTTGCTCTCTAACTCTTGTCTAAGTAGATATCCTGCATCTTCTACTTGGTAGCGTCACTGTGGAAGTGCTCGAGGTAGAACCACGGCTGCTCGTCCTCTGCGTATTCTCGGCCAGGCTCCTGCATCGGCACAGGCACCGCCGCCCTGAACGTCTGGCTCAGCTCTGCCTCTGGTGCTGCTCCTGCTGCTGCTGATGCTGCTGATGCTCCTCTTTGCGTGCCGTCCTCCCCTCTGCCCACGGGGACCACAACGCCACTTTCCCAGTTTCGGCAATTGAGCTTGGCCTGCTTCGTCTTGCGGTCAATCACCAGCCGTCCCCTAGGCCCTTCGTTAGCGAGGCAGCCACTTTTACTCACTCTCACACCCTCCCCCCCCCCAAAACGCAACAGTAGTACGGAGTACCAGCGACAGTAACAAGTAACAGTAGCACTTACCAGGCGCTCTCGGATAGGTTTGCGCTGCCCACATACGCCCATCCAGCGCAGTCGGCGCTCCTAGACTCTCCCTTTCGGGCCTCCCCTTCTGGCCGGGCATACAGTACCTAACACAAACAGCCCACATGTAAGTAACTTGGTGGCAGGACAGGGGTTGCTTGAGTAAATCAACACGCTAGTAAGAGCAGAAGTCGCAGTAGTACTTAACTAGTGGTGGACATGGATGTTGCATTTTTACTTACCTTACTGTGCATCAACAGCCCCTCTCTCACGCTGCGGTTATCCCGCATGACGTCTCTGGGAAACATCGGAGAGTTATACCATTTCGACATCAGGCACAGCGTCCCTGCTGCCGATACGCCGCCCCGGCTGCTGCGGACGGTCTCTCGCGACGGAAAGTACACCTTCATCCGCCCTGTCCAGTCATCATCGCCTCTACCACTCCTCTTGCTGCTCTGGTTGCTCTTGTTGCTACTCCGGGTGTTCCCCGCTCGTGCGGATAGCTGTTTCGTCCCGTTGTCGCCTACAACGTGTCAGGCTCATGCATACATCTCAACTTCCTCCCTCTCTCTCTCTCTCTCTCTCTCTCTCTCTCTCTGCCAACCACAAAAAAAAAAAAAAAAAAAAAAACCTGCGCGCATATCAAAGGAAATCACGGGCATATTGTGTACTTACCCTGCGCCGACCAGTACAGATTCTGGAGGAAAGTCGCCGTTAGCGAACCCACAGAGGATGTCTAGGACACGTCAGTCAAGTCAGTCCAAGTCGCGCCATTTTTCAATCTGCCTCGTTGCTCTCCTCCCATCATTTTGACAACCTACAATGTAGTCCAGCTTCAAGGGCCGCGACGTCGCCAAACCCAATGATTTAACCGCCGTGCCGAGCCCGCAGTGTCCAGTGCGCTCGTATGAGCCTGAGCCTATATGCGAACCACCTCTGGTCGCGGATCATTAAAGAAAAAAGTCAACAACCGCAAGTTAAGTTAAAATATAGTCTCGTCGCTTTTTGTTTTTGGTCGCAGAAACACCAGAGAGCCAGCAGCAGCAGCAGCAGCAAGCAGCGAGAGAGAGAGAGTTAGAGTTCACAAAAATAGAATTTAAGGTGCTGGAGAAAATCAAAATCAAAAAATAAAAAAAAAAAAAAAGTTAAGGTATTTAAGCAACGTAGCTTAACAACCCCAAAGCAAAAGGAAAAAAATAAAAACAAAAAAAGGAAGAAAAAAAAAAAAAAAAAGAACCCACATGGAATGCACGAAAGCATATTTAGCCGTCTTGCTAAAATCATACTGGAGCATCTTGTCTATGATCTTCTCGTTCAACGTCGACGCTCGAAGAAAGTAAACGAGCTCGTCCCGGAATGGCGTCGTGTCGTTGACGGTCTCGTTGGCCTTGCGAGGCAGATCGATCAGAAATAGCATCTTAAAATCGTAAAATAAAAGAAGATTAACAAATGTTCCAGTTAGCTGGGGGGAGACAAATCTATATCCTATACTCCGTAGAAGTAAAAGGTAGAGAGAGATAGACTTCGCCTTGCTTACATTCTCCATCACGCCGCCTTTCTCTCCCCAGTCGTACGGATCCAGGTTCGCGCTGGGTATCACAATGCGCAGGTGGTTGGCATGGAAAAGCAGCATCAGCTTAGAGTGCATGCAGTTCACCTCCCCGTCCATCGGCGGGAAACACAGCCGTATCCTCGACATCGATGCAGTCTCTCGCAGCAGCTGTGCTCGCTGCACAGTTGGTTATATCAGCCAATGTACTCAGGATTGTCAATTCGACTGTGCTGGCTTGCTTACCCTTTCCTCTCCCTTGGCCCCCATGATAAATAGAAACCGCGTGCTCGGGTTGGTAAACTTCATCAACAGCCAGTCCATGTCCCACAGGAACGAGCTAAGCACCGCCAGCTCCAGGTCAGACGGCTGCAACACTTCTTCAAGCTTGATGTCGTCCTTTCTCTCACACCGAAAAGCCCAGGTCTTCTTCACCGCACCCTCTGGGAACTGTATAGTCGGCTCTGTAGATGGCACTCCAGGCGCAGATTTTGCCGCCACCGTAGCTGTAGCTGGGGGTATGGATGATATCTTGGCAGAAGACGAAGAACTCTCAGACGGCGGCTCACGTCTTGACGCCTTCAACGGCCGTGCAGCTGGTAAAGCTAAAGCAGAGCCATCTTCTCCTGTCTTTCTCTTCTTCGCCAGCCTGGCTAGTCGTTCTTCTTCCATCTTCTTCCTATCAAAGCCCGCTATCCACGCTGAAGCCGTCTTCTTTGGTTCAGGGGTAGCCGTAGCTTTTCCCGCCTCTAGAGCGTCAACATCAATCGTTTCATGCTCTGGACCACGCCCCGATTGCAGAGAAAGCTGAATAGCCCTCTTCAACTCTGCATCAGAGTCATCGTCTCCTGCCTCTTCTTCTTCTTCTTCTTCTTCTGCTGCTGCTGCTGCTGCTTTTCCAGCCCGTCGCGCCGCCGACGCGTCCCCATCTGAATCCCCAGTAAGATCAACAATCGAAGAGTTACGCCGCTGTAAATTCGTCTGAGATCTTACTGCGTCTCTCAACGAGGCGTCAATCGCAGCCTGCAGGTCATGGTCCATGATGCCTGATCCGTGGGACCAGGCAAGCAGAGGAAGCCGTGGATGTGTCCTCTCAGGACCCAAACGCGGTCCAAACGCCTCGGAGTTGACCACGGATCGAGATGACGGAAATGGCCTGGACTCCCAAGAATGATAAGAATAGTAACAAGAAGAAGGCAAAGATGCTGCTGCTGCTCTCGTTCTCGCTCCAGCACTCTTAAAATTCAATAGACTGGCTGGATATTGGCTGAAACGGGTGGATATTACTGCTCGAGCGCGGTTGATATCCGATGCAGTCCCAAGTTACGAGGCCTGGGGTAAAAGTGGCATCCACATGGGCCTGAACTCACCTGTCCACCGGTTCAGTGGTGGTTCAGGAAAACGGCCAGCCAGTAACAAGCTCCAATCGCAAATATTGTCATCGCATTTATGACGCCGTCCTCTCCCTGGTGTTTGTTGTTTCTGTCTCTGCCGAGCTCGTTCAAAGACCGAGAGAAACCCCCTGGCGCAGGAAGATCTTCTAGGCCTTTCTGGCTAGACTAGGTATAGGTAGGTAATGTGAGTATCACGTGAAATAAATTACGATAAAATACCGATGGCGACCTGCAGAAAAGGGAATTCGCCATACGTTATCGATACGGCCATAAATTACGTCTATCAAGAACTGGGAAGTTACACCCGCCAAAATAGCTGATATACATGAATTCTTTCCTTCCCACACGATCTACAGGCAGGAAAACATGAGCTGGCTGGAAGGCGAACCATGGTTAGGCTCGAAACCAGCCTGCTTGCGCAAAAACTGCCACTTTAGACTTCTCGTAGCCTCTTCCGTAGCCTTCTCGGGAAGGACATGGAGCAACCAGACGCAAAAGACAGATGCCAAAAAAAATACCTGCCGGCAGGGCTGACATAATTATATACGTATCTTTCTCACGTTCAACCTTGTGCTCTCGCGCGTTGGATAAGGTGTCAGGAATGGCCTCGAAACACTCCTCGAAAGAGGACCACAGGCTGAAGGTCCTGGTGGTGGGTGCAGGTGCTGCTGGGATGGTGAGTGTCCCTTCGCTCGTTCCGGGGGCCTCCTTGTTTTTGAGACCCAGCCAGGTTTAATGGTTTATTACCATACCTGTTGTCTCTGCCAGCAGAAAAAAAAAAAAAAAAAAAAAAAAAAAAAAAAAAAAAAAAAAACCATGGAGCATGAGTGAATAATAACCAAGTGTGCTGTAGTCATGCGCCGCAACCCTCGCGAAAGAACCGGACAAGTTCGAAGTGACCCTGCTCGAAAAGGACAACGTGCCAGGCGGACAGGCAAAGTCCATCGCCATCGACAAGGCCAAATTCGGCACGGACTGGGTCAATATCGGGGCCCAGGGTGGCCCGGGGATATTCAGGCACACGTACAACTTCTTCCGGGAATATGGACACGAGCCACAGGAGACCACCCTGCAGTTCGCATTTGGCAAGGGAAGGGACAACTTCTGGACAAATGCCTTTCCAACCTCTGTCGTGCAGGAACATGCGGAGGAGATACGGAAATTCGGGGAACTGCTCACGAGAGTCCGCCAGTATTCCTTGCTCTGGCATCTCCCGCTAAAGGCCTTCTTGCGCATCTTCGGCTTCTCAAAAGAGTTTGGAAACAAGATTATCTATCCCGCAACCTCCATCTTCTTCGGTATGGGCAATCAGGGCCGTGATGTGCCATGTGGGCTCTACCAGGGCCTCTTTGAAGACCCTGATATAAAATTCTGTTCCTATGACATGTCGACACTCGTGCCCTTCGACCACTCCGTATATGCATATCCAAATATGAGTCGTTTTTATCTGGACTGGGCAGAAGGTCTCCGCACAAAGGGGGTCAATATCCGATTCAATACCCAGGTCGTGAAGGTTTTCCAGAGAAACAAGAAAGGTATCATAGTGGAAACCCGCCGGATCGATTCAGACCACAGGATCGGAGATAGCGGTATTAAGAACAGGACCCTGTCGGAATCTTATGACAAGATCGTCTTTTGCATTCCGGGGGACCAGGCAAAGGACCTACTAGGCGATCTGGCAACGTGGCGGGAGAAGATGGTCTTGGGGACAACCCAATGGTGCAAGGACCTGACCATTACCCATTCTGACCATGCCTACTTTCAGAGAAAGTTCGAGGTCCATTACCGGGATGAGATATGCGGTGAAGCCCAGACGCTCGAAGACAAGGAACATATCAAAGTTGCAAAGGGGGAACAGGGCGTCGCATCCAGATTTCAGCCATCCTATTTTACATTCTCATACCAAGCACGGCCAGAGAAGATGGAAGTAAGATACGACTGCACACGATTCCAGTACCAGTTCCGGAACCCAAACGGTACTGATGACCCTTTGCCACCGTTCGAAGACCACATATTCCAAAGCCACTTCATAGACGAGAAAATGCGGCATGTATGGACTGTAGACCTTATCGATCAGGAGAAAATAATCGAGCAAAAGTGGTGGCACCAGCTCTCCCACAGATGGCAACACTTTGCGAAACTCGTGCCAGCCATGAAGTTTCTGAACGGAAGAAATGATACCTTCTATGCAGGCTCCTGGACCTATACGGTAAGTACCCATGTTTCTCTTTCAAGAAGAAAAAAAAGACAAAAAAAAAGAGCACAGCCTATATGTTCTGTCACAGAGTATCCGCTAATATGTCATTTTTTTTTTTTTTTTTCAGAATTTGCACGAAGTAGCTGTAATATCTGGTACAGCAGCGGCATATCGCCTAGGAGCCCGTTATGACAAAATTGACGACGTTGCTGATAAAGTATTCGCCTATTTCCTCAAGATATCTCATGGCGTACGCTTCAAAAGGAAGTAACTCTCGCATAACAATGAACCAAAGATAAAAATGCACAGGGAAATGTGGCATAAATAGGGAGTTAAGATATTGCAACACGGATAAATCGGTGTTTTTATGTTTAATGGTGTCACATTTCCACGATTGGGGGTAGGTGTTGGAGCATAAAGGATCCGGCATGGCTGGTGGTTATGATAGATCCTGGAGTGGAAAAGGTGGCAGGCGTGGGAATGTCTGATAACTCGAGGCGTTTGTTCTTTAATCCGTTACCTGTATATCATTAGATGCCAATTGATCGTCTGCTTCTTTTGTCGCCGAGTCCCCTTCAGTCCTGGTGGAAGGATTTGCCTGTGGTGGCTGATCGGGAGGAGGAAAATTCAGATGCTTCCAATCCTCTATCTCCTCTGTAACACATTTCAGCCTGTCTCTAATGCTCTCTACCGCATATGTGCCCAGTAGCAGCCTCAATGGCGGATAAGAACAGTGGCCCAGCTGCCACACAAGCTCTGCAGATTTCACTGCACTTGTAGGCAGTTTGTCACCCAGCCATTGCAAAATACGTCTCGCATGCGCCGTGGGAGCTGTGACTCCGCTGTACGGCTCACTAGCCGGTTTTATCATAAAATGCCCAAAGGCGGGCAGCGGCGAGGTGAGGTAATTCGATGCATTCTCAGGCATTCCAGGTATCAAGTCATTATCGTCACGACGTATGTGGCCCGGCAAAACAAGCGTGCACTTGATATTGAAACAGTCGACTTCATATAACATGCTCTCAATCAGTCCTTCGACCGCATACTTCGAAGCGCAATAGGGTCCTAACCCAGGAACCCCCAGTGCGCCCGAAGTCGAGCTGAAAATGATATATCTCCCTGCTCCGCGTTCCCGGAAATGTGGCAGGGCCAATTGCACGAGGTTCAGCGTGCCCATGAAGTTAGTTTCAAACTGATTTCGTATATCGTACTCTTCCTGGTCCTCGCATGCCCCAATCACACCGTAACCAGAGCAGTTGGCTACAATATCTATTCGGCCCCAATGAGCAATTGTCCGGTCAATAGCTGCTTTGACCGTCTCTCTGGTGCGGACATCACACAGTAGACCGAGACAATTCTTATTTTCTTGTTGAAGACGTCCCATGCTCTCGGGAGACGTTTCGAATGTACGGCCAACAGCTGCAACGAGGTCGTTGTGGCCGAGGGCCGACTTCACCACTGAACGGCCAATATGGCCTGTTGCGCCAAATATCTATATACCAGGCGTTATTACGCATCAAATATGGCAGACAAACATATCCATAGTTTCGTAAAATATGCGAGATATTGCGGAGTCTACCTACCAGCCATACGAGTTGCTTTGGAGGATTCTGGGGCCCAGGAGGGTTCGTAGTGGAAGGCAACCGTAGCCCAGAGTCCCGCGTGGTTACGCCGGGCGATGTATGAGTTTGTGAGTCCATCGTTTAAGAATGTAGGTTGTGCAATTGCCGACTTCTCAGCAGATAAGTCGAGTGTGAAGTGGTTTGAGGTCTTCCTGATGACTGCATGACGATGTTCCCTGTGTTTCAATTCAATTCAATCAAGCTTTTAAGATTTCTTGGCATCCTTTTTTTTTTTTTTTTTTTTTGGCACCTGTGGCAAGCAGAAAGCGGTAAACAAGATAGATCTGCCTATATAAAGAACGCCTTGAATCGTCGATATACACTCTTCAATATAGCGATAAAGAAAATTCGTCAGATAGTTAAAAGCAATGCAAGTTATCGGTTAATTTCAGCTCGTAATCGCCCCGCCGCTGTTGTTGGTGGAGGCTCAGGCCAGTTGCCTACAGCATCTTCCACTTCGTCTAAGAAAGTGGTGCTGTTGTGAATGCAAGTCCCACCAAGGACTACCCGAATTCCAGGAGAGCTAGCGTTGACTTGGGCAACCATCTTTGCTTCTTCATAGGTCACTCCTCCGACCATAAAGATTATTATATCTTGTGGTTTGTCCCGGGTGTGCCCACCACCTTCGAGGAAAGGGTACTGAAGCTCCTTTAGTCTGCCCTTTATCAGGTTTTGAAGAGTAGCCTCTAAGCGTGGAGAATGCTGGGTATATACGTTTTCTACACCCTTCAGCCCCTTGAATCGATCACGAGCCCCGGTTAAGAAGGAGGCTGACTCGAATAGGTCTGAGAACCCACCAGCAACTGGCGGCGCTTGCAAGGAATTGTGGTATGCTAAGAGCTTAGGGATAATGTTAATTTTATGCAGAGGTACATTTCCGGCGGCGGTGAGGAGATCAAGAAGAACTGGAAGTGTATTTGAAGGTTGCTTTTCGTAACGAATGGCGTAAAGAGCAACAAGACGCAATTTATTCTCCACAGTTACGGTAGGGGACTGGATAAATCTTTGGAGGGACTAGCAGATAAAAAGTAAGCGTGTCTGCACGAAGAAAATACAATGGAACACAAGCTAGAGCACCAACCTTGAGATCATTTGCATGATTATCGTTGCAAGCTAAGCTTTGTTCTAGCTCGCTGACATTTAATAAGTCATGTTCCCCGATATTCCTACTCAACTCCCCTACAAGGGCCACATGCTTGCTCACGTTCCCAGAAAGCTTTCGAAACTCCGGATAATCCTCAACAAACCGTTTCATATCAGAGATAGATTCAATGTTCATATTGGTTTTTGTCCTGGACTGGTACTGTTCGACGTATTCCTTAATATTACCACCAAGGTCACCAAAATTCTGATACATATTCTTTTTAAAGAAGGGATCTTGGTCCTGAGCAATAACAATCTCTTTTAGTTCTGGACGAATATCTGGGACCTCACTAAGATCAACTCGACCATTGGTAATTCCCAGTAATTCATGTACCATAGCCTGGTATGTCCATTGGGTCAATAGAGGGGTTATGGGATCATCTCGGCGATCAAGGATAAGTAAAATCGGGGGTGTATCTGGCTTCCTGAAATTGAATAGTTGATCTTCCTGCGTAAGTTGGTACCTAACTTCCGTGGCAAGTTTCTTCGCCATCAGACTGTTTTTCTCATATCGTATCAAGGGAGTCTTCTTCAAGGACAATAATAGCGCAATTACACCTTCAGTGGTCCGCTGCAGGGCATCTGAATTCCAGAGGTCAGGGGAGTGGCTCCAGATCCGCTGTCCAGGGAAACCGACATTGAGATGGCATAGATCCGGGTTAACCACCAGAAAATCGGCAAAATGCTCTTGTACTGATTTCACAACCTCATGATCGTCCGCCTCTGCCAGCCTTTCCAATGATGACTTGCGAACAATATTGCTGAAATAGATATAGTATTCTCCGTATTTGGGCGCTCGTAGCTCGTCAATGAGAAATTGTATAGAGTCTGGAGAAGGGCGGACGAAGCAGAGACATCTGAGATGCCTCATGCGCTCGCGGGATTGGTTGTCAAGCCGGTCGATAAGATACACTTCATGGTTAAGGAGAGCAGACTGCGTCATGGCTGTCGACACGATAGGTAACTATACAACCAGTTAGATCAATTTTTTTCAAGAAAAAAAGGGTCGCGTCTCCCACGGTCTCACTATCAAGAAGCAGTATCTTCATTTTCGAGGAGGAGTTCGTGCCGGCCGTATCTCCAGTGGTCACCATCTTAGAGATGTAACCGGAGACCGCAGAGAAGACGTCCATGGTGGTGCGTCGGTATAACAAACTGAACAGCTAACGGAAAGATTGAGCTGCAGGCAGCAGCCTCGTAGAATATACCAAGTAATAGCTGGTCTCCGAGCTACTGTTGAGCTATCGCAAAGCTGGCTTTTGCATGGCTGCTTCTAACTAAACGTTTTCGCTCTTGTTGCACTTCTCATAATAAGAAGCTAGCTTGCGTCTCTTCCGAAGGAACCCTGTTCATGATCACATAGTCATGTGATTACATGAAAAGGGGCTGTTGGTTTAGTGGTATAATACCCCCTTAGCATGGGGGTGGTCCAGGGTTCGATTCCCTGACAGTCCATTTTTTTTTCTTACTATCTTTCTCCAGCTGTATTATTGGAGGTGTCTTTTTTACGTATATTATTTATTATATTTATTAATTTTATATTTCTTTAAACATTTTGTATATATTAATTATGATGTGTGCCCTTGATGTAGAAAAATAAGGGGTAGCTGGTAACTATTGATGGTTAACCATTCAAATCCTGTAAATGAGGGGCATTGCATATTGCATAATTAGGAAACAATAGATCTCGATTGATCGATATCAACAGACTACAGAAGAGAGGCCCGAGAAATGAATAGAAGTGAAATCGCATATCTTTTATCTGTCAGTTCCTCTTCCTAAGTCTATCAGTATGCTGAGTGTGTAGAAATACATTGAGCTCTCGCCGTTTCTTTTAACAGAAGGAGACATTAAATCGTTGGGCTAGAACGATGAGGAATATATACCATATACCTGGCAAGATATTAAAGATGTCATAGGTAGCTTAGCTCTGTTACTGTTACTCCTTTCGAGCAATATTTTGTATAGAGTATTAAGTCACTGACACAGAGACATGCTGAAGCCGAGGGAGACATGTCTGTCTTGAACCGGGCACCGTCAGACCTCAGAAACTACATTCTCTGGGTTAGAGAGACAAGAAACAAAAACGACTCGGTCATTGGATTTCTACTGCGGGAACGTCTTCTCTGGAAAAAGAAGGCTCAACCTGAACAGGTTGAAGACTCCAATGACACCCAGGCGTCAACTGGCCTGGAATTTGAATACCAGGACGAAACTCCGTTTGCTCATCCAGCTGATTACAAAATTCTCCGCAATGACTGGCCGTACGGACTCGAACATAACATCGTGCATCTGGTTGTCTGGCTTAAGACTCGGATCCCAGTTGAAGAGGACGGTCAGGGTGGCCCAACCGCAGAGTCACGCAAGCTTATTGAAGACTTTGTCGACAGGACATTCACCCAGAAAATTGTCGAGAGACACAGAGAGGTAAACGGGAGTTGTCCAAATAACATCAAGGAAGAAAAGGTGATGTGGTTTAAGAACAAGAAGAAATGGCAGACCGTTGCTAGCATTGAACATATCCACGTCATTCTTCAAGATGTTGACGACGATTTGGTTGTGGGTTGGACGGGACAGACATCAATGGATATCACAGCCAGGTCCTATGTATGGAATGGGCAGTAAATGCTGAATACCTTAACCACCGCTAGAATAGAGAGCCGGTGTATCGAATATAGAGATTATTACAGTGTGGTTACTAGTACATTGTTAGAAAGGGTTGAAGGAGCGTCGTAAAATATCTAACTTCATATCTGCTATCGCAATAAGAACGCCATGTACCGCACATCTATGCCAAAGTATGCACCCCAAAAAATATAATACAAAGTAAGTTAAAAATACAAAGTAAGTTAAAAATACAAAGTAAGTTAAAAATACAAAGTAAGTTAAAAATACAAAGTAAGTTAAAAATACAAAGTAAGTTAAAATGACACGCTAGAAGGGGGACACATATGTGTCCATGGTTATATAGAAACAACAGTACAATCAGAGTGAGGAGGCTGTAGCTGTGCTTGCGTCCCGGTCAGCAATACTGCAAGCGGATTCGTCCTTCCTAAGTTCTAGCAACCTCAACTTGCGAACATGCATGAGCAGCTTCAGAGCGCCCACAGGGGTCACCCCTTCAACACGGCGGGCCATACCAATGCTCACCGGCCGCACCTTTTCTAAAACCTGGCGTTCCTCCGTGCTCAAGCCGAGCATGGTGCTGTAATCAATGTCTGGAGGGAGCAGCATACCTTCATCCCGCTCAAACAGGAGAGCGGTTGCTTCCTGCCGTTTAGTGTAGGGGGCATATCGGCCTTCAATGGCCATTCGCGATTTGATTTCCGAAGAAAATGAAGAAAGTGAGTGAATGGTACCAGGCGCAGACTCAATATGTGGGATAACATCGTCAAGTGAAACTCCATTATGTGACAAAAGTTCAAAGGCAGACCTGACGGAGGAATCTGTGCGGACGGGGAACCCTTTACGTGCCCAGAGAGTGGAGGGGTGTTTCGTGTTTTCAAGGAGTGCCTGTAGATAAGACATCTGCTCTTTCGTCTGGTTAAATTGACGCCAGCGCTTAGCAGATACAACACCAGCAGCCCGGCCCCTCGCTGTTAAGCGTAAATCTGCATTATCTGAACGGGTCGAAATGCGGTATTCACTTCGAGTGGTAAACATCCGGTACGGTTCAGAGACTCCCTTGGTAATAAGATCGTCTATCATAATGCCAATGAAACCGTCTGCACGGGAAAGAGTCATCGGGGGTTTTGACTGGGAAGCTAGGCCTGCATTGATTCCCGCAATGATACCCTGTGCAGCAGCTTCTTCATAGCCAGTCGTGCCATTTATCTGACCCGCGAGATACAGCCCGCTGATAAGCTTGGTTTCGAGGGTAGGACGTAATGATCTAGGATCGACATAATCATACTCCACTCCATAGCCAGGTTGAAGCATGGTGACATTTTCCAGCCCACGAACGGTTCGCAGCATCTTTTCCTGAGCGTCCGCTGGAATGGTCATGGAAATCCCGTTAGGGTAAATCACATCATTTGGTGCAAGCCCTTCTGGCTCTAACCATATCATATGTCTCGGTTTGTCTTTGAATCTAATGATTTTTGACTCAAGAGAAGGACAGTAACGCGGGCCATTGACAGTTTCGCGGATATGAATAGACTTGTTCAAGTTCTCGCGCACTACTGCGTGAGATGCTTCATTGGTGTGAGCTGCCCAGCAACTCAATTGGCCTTTATCCCCAATCTGCACGGAATCATTGAGATAAGAAAAGGGGCTTGGAGGGGAATCGCCTGGCTGGACTTCAAGCGTGCTGAAATCAATAGTCTTGCGGTCTAATCTAGGTGGTGTCCCCGTCTTGAGACGGCCGAGTTGGAAGCCCGCCTCTCGCAGGGACTTGCTTAGGCCAAATGTAGCTGCTTCACCCATGCGACCTGATGGAAAGACATCCAATCCGATATGTATCTCTCCCCCAAGAAAAGTCCCCGTCGTAATTATTACTTTCCCAGTAGGTATCACCTCTCCCGATTCCAATCGGACACCTATAATCTCGCCCTGGGACCCATTCAAGCTTGTCATATTCTCCTTTGATATAACTATATCAGCAACCTTCCCCTCCACAATGCTAAGCCCAGGTGTGTTGGTTAATTCTTCAAGCATATATTTCTTGTAGAGTGCGCGATCGATTTGAGCTCGTGGACCCCATACTGCCGGTCCTTTGGATCTGTTAAGTATTCGAAACTGGATTCCTGCTTTGTCGACCGTCCTTCCTGCTACTCCGTCAAGTGCATCAATTTCTCGGATCATCGTCCCCTTTCCTATCCCACCGAAACTGGGATTGCATGAGCACACACCGATGTCTGAGCGGGAGGGCGTTACTAGAGCGGTTCTTGCGCCGGACCGAGCCGCAGCGGCGCATGCTTCAGACCCAGCGTGTCCACCTCCGACGACTATAACATCATAAGGCCTTTAGGAAAAAAGCTATATTAGTACCCCGGTGTCGAATGGAGAATATGCAGAACATACCGAGTGCTCTCTCGTATTGTCGCAAAACCCCGTCGAGAGGGTATATAGGTCGGAGGTATTATACGTAGGCGAGGAAACGCCCCGGGCACCCGCGCCCTGATCATTGTGGTGCTTAACGGTATGTGAACCGCGCTTTCGCTCAGAAAATAACGATCATTGAATAACCATTCAACTGCGCCTTCGTTGATATAAAATTTGCCGGAAGAACAGAATGAGATAGTTATGCCAAGCCGGAGTTGTGAAAGCCTAACTAAGCAGGGGCCAATCATTATTGCCGTAACTCGGTCTTTCACTTCCACCCTCGAGGGAGGAGCTGAAGGACGTAGATCAAAGATATCGCCATGTCAGCATCGTCACTCATTAACAGGGCCCTATAAATTTATACTGCTGCCTCTCTGAGCCCATCGGCTAGACTCAGCATGAGAGCGTATTTGTTCGACGACGCTGAGGTATGACTTCCATTGCTGCTTGCTTGCTCACCCACCCCCCACCTTCGATCGCAACTGACAGCCCCGTCACGATAGGGCGACCAGCGCGCACCTCATGACTCAGGCCATGCTGTTGACACAGACTACCTCGCTAGAATAGGTGTTTTATATAAGAAATGCCCTTCAGTTGACGATGTCAACGCCCTGGCTTCGGAGCGGGGTTATAAGAATCGCGATGAGATAACAGTCTCTCCCGAGAAGATGGGTGCAGTCTACGAGGAAAAAGTGAAGTCATTCTTCGATGAGCACCTTCATGAAGATGAGGAGATTAGGTACATCCTGGATGGCGAAGGATATTTTGATGTTCGCAGCAGAGACGACAAGTGGGTGCGAATCAAAGTTGAGAAGGAGGACCTACTTATCTTACCTGCTGGGATATACCATCGCTTCACGACGGGAGAGAGCAACGTAAGTTATGTAGCTCTTTAATATCTATAGAAGTCTGCAATTTTAACTTGATGATTCTGTGACTAGTATATCAAAGCAATGAGGTTGTTCCAGGATGAACCGAAATGGACGCCTTTGAACCGTGAACCAGCGCTTGATAACAATTCGTTCAGACAGAGTTATGTTGCTGCCCATGTGGAATCTTGAACGCCACAGTCTTTTTCAAACACCGGTATTCCCAACTCTCAGATCCAAATCTGAAGTGGAAAAGATGGTATATCGTCTCTAAATAATATGCACTTGAAATGTATTATTCTAATAGTAACTTCATTTTGTACTGTTCATTTCCAATAAACGTGTCAGAACAGTCATGCTATAGCAGATGTGCCTGGCAATGATCCGGGTATCCTAAACTGCTCACCAGATGTTGGCTGTGGGTGGCCATCACCGTGAGGCAAATTTTCATAATTGTCTGCCGTAGACTGACCCCCTCCATTACCCCGCCGATTCCTCAGTCCGTCCATATTTAGGTCCCTGGACGTCTGTGATCCATCACGGTTGGCATTAACAGGAGTGAACCCACTTTGTGCAGCCTTGGCTTCGGGATCATCCGAGTCGACAGAGACAGCATCATGGTCTTCTTGCGCCCGAACACCAGTACGACCCATCCGTGGCCATATCCCAGGTAAGGCAACTAGTTGAACGCGGGGTTCTACTACGCGGTCCTCAAACCACGACTGAACTCGTGCTTCTACGAGTTGCGCAACCTTGGGGACATCCTGGAGTCTGCTCCGTGACCCAATGAGCGATCTAACGGAAATGTCTAAGCGGTAGTCAGGTAGAAAAGAAAATGCAAGGCTTGTTTTGGGTATTCCCGACCGGACTCCATCCTTGCTACTAGGCCTTCCGGGGTCCTCTTGTCCAGGCCGGGTTTCATTCCGGCCCTCTGAATGAGGCGGTGGGTTAGAACTGCTCTCAGATGTTGTACCAGGGCTAGGAACAAATGATATGCATAAGGTTCCGGAAAAGCGTACAACGGATACTGATAAAGCAACCGGTAGGACGGCGGAAGCTGGCTTCGGGTAGTTCAATAGCAAGTTAGTCTCAATCGCGAGTGACAAGTTGTCGTCGCTTAAATCAACATCCATCAATGCCTGTAGCCTTCCCCCATCTGAATTTGGATCGTCAACAGCAATAACACGGCAGTTGCTGAATATAGGGAACTCTTCGCCGATTGAAATATCTGTTACATTAATCCGGTCAATCCATGATGGTTTCTTTTCCACGTTGTTTAGCGTCTCTGTAAGAGAGTCAAGAATTGACGACGTGGGCGAATCTTTGAGTAAATATGCAGTTTGTCGGTACTGTGCGATCAACTGAGCAATCAAAACATTAAACCAATCCAATGATTCTGGCTGATGAGTAGAATGATGGAGACGATTCCGACCATTTTTCTGGAAATTGGTAGGGATGGCATTGTAGTAAGTTTTTCGGAGGATAGACTTGGTGTTTGTGGACGACGAGGGAACAGGACGCAAGACGTTTGATGAGGCCGATTCTTTTAACGACCTTGAAGCTGCATCTCGAAATAGTGTACTGTTGGCAGAATATGATCGTTTACGAGGTGCCGCTCGCTGCGATATGCCTCTTGAGGACGAGGAAGGGGCTTCACCAAATATGAAGAACTTGATAAACGCGCCTATCAGCAGGACAACAGACAGTTGGCCAAGCAGTAGGCCTTGCGTAAACGACAGCCTGGCCAATAAGTTTAACCTGTGGACTTGATGAAAACGAGCGGACGAACTCACGAATGCTGCGGAGGTGGGCAGGAGGCATCTAAAAAGAAAGGAATAATGGCGATTAGTTCATGAGACAGGTTAACACAATCATACTTTTAAGATTGACCTACTTTCTGAACTGGACATTGTAGCTACGTGTTCCACCTTACCTCGCCCATTTTCTTCCGTCTTGCACGGCGCACAGGGCCTGGGTGCTGAAGAATATATTGTTGCTTCAGTAGTTTTTATTTGCGGGTGAAATCCACGTTTTATGTGGAAGTTGAATGGCATGGTCTGTGCTTTTAACTAACTAGTTAGTTATCAGATCGATCTTATCTCTTGGCACTCGGACTTCCCACTTCGTCATGCAACGTTATTTATGTTTCTGCCTGCAGAGAAGGCCACTTGTCCTTGACAGCAAGCAATTAGAATATAAATAGCTAGTCAAAGCGGACTATATGGGACCCTGACGAGCCACGAATAGTTTCCCAGATGCGAAACAGGCCTCTCGCGGACTTACTTATTGTTTCACAGCCCAGCTGCAGGAATGGCAATGTTTGCCGCAGTGACTTGTCTAGTTGCGCTATCAGCCCTCCTCCAACCTGTAGCCTCTTACGGCAATAACAAGTCCCCTTCAAAGAACGCAGTCCTTCTATCAGACGTTCAAACCCTTACTTTCCACGCGAATCGCAAAACTACCCACCGTCGAGTCTCCGCGATACCCCAACTCAACTGTGTTGGACCATCTAAAGAAATATGCTCTCTCTACAAGCCAGATGTCATACGATGTTCCAACGAAGGATATGACTATGATGAAAATGATGTACAATGGACCTGTACAGCACAACTTCCTCCCGAATTCAAGCTTGGAGGGACAGAGGTAGTTTGCGAAGGTTATCGGAACTCCAACGATCCATGGATTCTTAAGGGCAGTTGCGGCGTGGAATATAGGCTTTTGCTTACTAGCATGGGAGAAAAACGGTACGGCCATATCCCCCACGATAGATACGGGTATGACGAATCAATATGGTCTACCCTTATCCGGATGGCTGTGTTTTTCGGTCTGTTCATGGCTGTTGTTAAGCTCCTTCAATACTGTACGGGTATACAAGGCCAGGGATGGGGAAGAAATGGTGCAGGAGGTGGTGGAGGAGGAGGCGGCGGCGGTGGATGGTGGCCTCCAGGGCCCCCGCCTCCATACGATTATCAGCAGCCTAGGTTCGCAAAGGATGATTGGCAATCGTGGAGACCGGGTTTCTGGACTGGTGCTTTGGGCGGTACTGCTGCAGGGTATGCAATGGGAAGAGGCTCACGAAGAGGAGGAGATAATACCTTCAGGTCTGGCAGCAATAATGCCGCCTCGGGACCTTCATTTTCTTCATCAACAAGGGAAAGCACTGGGTTTGGAGGTACAAGGCGTCGCTGAGTTTGACTGAATAAACTAGGCATTTTTTGGATTGTAGAATATTATGAAAAAAGTTTGGATTCTGGCTCTGGACGCATAAACAGATCTTTAAGATAATACAATACTATTTACTAGAAAAATCATAATATGCTACAGAACTATATCGGAAGTTGAATCATTAGAAAGTGTAAGTCGGATTAATCATCGATAGATCCCAGAATCTCCTCCGTTCCTCCTCCGAACTTTGCCTTTTCAGCCTTCTTCTTTTCCCGTCGCCGCCGGGCCTCGTTAGATTCACCCTCAATACTAGGTAATACCTTGTCGCCCAGTTTCCCACCAGGGTTGCGGAGCTGTTCCTCACGTGCCATCTGTTCTTCAGCATGTTCACTTTCAATTCTCTTTTTCTCTTCATCAAGTTCTCGTTGTATAGCTCTAGGATCGTCGTAGACTGTATTCGTCATCTCCGAATAGGCTTCTAAATCAACTGGTTCCCTGGGACCAAGCAAGGTCCTCTTGATTCGTTCTGGTTCACGCCGTTCCTCGTTGGAAAATTTCAGTTTGATATGCCGCCTGGTTCGGCCTGGGAACATCTTGCTGATCATCATGAAATCTGTGCCAAACATCCGTAGTCCCTTATAGAATAAATCTGTCGCTGCCTCGTCCCAGGTCTCGAGCTTGGTCCGTTTCCCAAAAGAAGCAGCGTTTATGCGCCGAGTGAGCGGGTTTTCCTCAACTTCCTCCATATCATCTGCATTCCTGTCTGCGTCCGCATGACGATCGATCTGTAGCGAGGATGTGTCCAGCACAATCTCTCCGTTGACGATTCTCATTTGTGGACCAGTAACTTCGGCCGACGGGCGCATCTTCTTCTCGGCTGGTTTTGGGGTATCCGTGGAACTTCCCTTGGCAGACTGGCTCCCAGAACTACCGGCTTTTTTCCTTTCCTCTTTCTCTTTCTTCTTTCGAGCAATCTCAGCCCAGTCCATTGTTCTCAGCTCCATTTCACGCTTGGAGGTTTTGCCAGTGCGCAGGTCACGGCAGAGGTCGGACATCGTCACTACCGCAGAAACTATCTCGATTGATTCCGAGTTTTCTGGCGTCGATGCCCTCTTTCTTGACGTTCGCGGCTTCTTCTCGCGCACTGCATCTGCTACCACCTCTGCAGCCACATCCTCGGCTGCTCGTTTGCGCTTCGCCATCTTCTGGGGTGCTGTAGCGGTATCAGCCGTGGCTGCTGGTGGCTGTGCCATGATTTTATTCGTCCCTTGGTCAATGAAACTGACTTGTTGCAACGATGGCTGCTGTCCCTGTAGATGTATGATGTGACGATGATGTCGGTGTCGAAGTGTGGTGGGTTAAGCAGTCACAATAGATTGAGTGAACGGGTAAAGCTTATCTAATCATGCGATAAGCTTTTTATCTCTGGGCGGAATGCCAATATTTTTTCTTTTTCTTCTTTTTCAACATTTTTTTTCTTCCTTGCGACTCCACAGAAAATAAATAATAGTAAAAAACGCGAAGGTGGTTCCTGGTCTCATGCTAAAAAGGACCCCTCCATGGCCATGCTCGCTGAGGGGCGATTTTCAGGACTTTCAACCAGAGGTGTCTAGATGTTTTACGGTCGCTGCTAGAAAGCACAAAGACAGATGGGAGGGCTGCGGCCTGTATCACAGCAAGGGCATTCCGGCAGCCCTCTTCTGATCATTCCTACGCAAGCACTCGTTACTTGCTGTCGCTCCTTCTACGAGGCCAGCTCCATCAGTGTTTTCGGTCTTCGTCTTTCCCTTCCATCCCTCCCTCTATTATTTATTTATTTTCCACTTCTTCTTCTTTTTTCCTTCCATCTGCCTTTCAAAACCTCGATGTCATCACGTGATATATTGCCAAGACGAGCACTAGCCTGGGACGGGGAAAATCCTCCTTTCTCTGCTTGAACTGGATATTTCAACCTCACTCTGAGGATGTCCAGCTCGCCCTCTTGCATTGTCCATAGCAACTAGCCGCTCTATCAGTCAACGTCGTGGTGTCTGGCGAAACCATTTTCCCCGTCTCTCTCTTATCTCTCCCGGTATTCTGCGGGACTGTTTGCTGGCTCACCCTCATCTTCACTTCTCGCTGCTTGTCGGTGGCCACACATTTCCCAGCCCCCGTCCAACCCCCATGACGGCTCTCGAATCCCCTACGGTGTCCCTACCCAAGTCCGGCCTTGTTGTTAAAATGGAGGACCGCAAGCGACTTGCTACGCAGGATCCTGGTGATTCGGCCCCCCCGTTGAAGAAACAAGCCACTACTGTTAATGGAGGAGTAAAGGCGCACCCGGACACCGATATGCCATGGCGCGATGATCTTGAGGTGAGAAAGGCCCTGTCGAGCTATCTTCATGCGATGTCCGTGGATGAGACTGTGTTTGTCCTTTCACGCATAGCGTTGCATTCGCGTATTTTTTTCTGCCAAAAGGTGCTGACGTATTATTCATTTTTCACACAGCGATATCAGAAAGATGCAATCTGGAGGCAGATGCAAGAATATAAACGCGAGAAAACAACACTCGAATCTCGGATAAAGGATCTATCTAAGAAGATGGCGTATAATGAAGAACACGTCAGTGTTCTTGATGCATGGCTTAAGCAGGTATTTCCACCCACCTATCAATAGTTGATGTGTGCAGACGACTAAGTGTGTCAAATAGTTAATTGATGAAGTCAAAGTTATATCCTCTTCGGTAGACGAGTCCTCAGAAGGTACTCCCAAAATTTGAATATCCATTTCCAGGGTTTTGTCGGCTAACGCGTTTTCTCAGAGAACCCCACATACCAGACATCGTTGCTTTTCAGCGGTCATGAAGCATTCGAAAAACACTTACAAGACCGAGCCAGCGAAATTAAGGGTTCAATATCCCGTCTTCTCTCCAACGCAGCCAAAGCTACCCCAGATATCACCAGCTTGCAATCCCAACTCGCAAAGAAGCTTGCGGATGAAAAGGCTGTTAATGTTGCCATTGAGAAAGCGATTGCAGAAAAGCAGCAACTTGAGGAACGTCTTGAGGCAGCATCGTTGAGATATATGGTAGCTGAGAAGAAAATAGATCGAGCCAAGAGCCTCACTGTTGCCAGACTGGAAAAACAGCACATTCTCGGACCCCATAAGTCAGGCGATTCTTCTACAAAGCGAGAGGAAGGGCCATCCACCAATGGAACGACTGATAACCCCGAAAAGGCCACCGAGATGGAAATGCTGTATAATACCACGCTTGCAGTATCCAACAAGCAAAAGGAACAGCTAGAAAGGCTCGAAGCGGAAAATTCCAAGCTGTTGACTCAGATAACTGAACTCCACGTTAAGGTACCTATCTTTCCCTGCTTCAATGATTGGTCCTGCTTGCTAACGATACTAGCTTTCAAAACTTTCCGACGAGGACTATGCTCACTGTGACCTGTTTAAACAATTAAAATCTCAGCATGAAGATGTCATCCAGCGGATCAATCATCTAGAAGCGACCAATATCCAACTACGTGAAGAAGCTGAGAAGCTACAGGCCGAACGGACTGCATATCGAGTTCAAATAGAAAACGAGGCTCAAAACACCATTGGAGAAAAGGAAGCTCAGCTGGCGAAAACAGAATCCAATCTTGTTCGAATTCGGAATGCTCGAGACGAGCTATTGGCAGATCAGCAGATGCGAAAGGCAGCGGAAGACCAGGAGAAGCAGTCAGTCACTCAATTGAAAGAGCTGTTAGACGCCAAAGAATCCCGGATTACTTCTTTGGAGCAGGAAGTTCATAGAGTGCAATTGCAAATCGATGGAGTAAAGGACTCCCGGCCAAATAATAGCGAACTCTCACATGAACAACTACGGACTAAGTTTGATACACTTGAAAAGCAGTATGAGATGCTCAATATGGAACTATCATCTATGCAGATAGCCTTCCGGAAATCTTCCAAGTTAGCATCCCAAAAAATTGCCGATACAGCTACCGCTGAAGAAAGAGTCCAGCGTTTGATGGCCGAGAAATCAAAGGCCGATCAGAAGTATTTTGCAGCTATGCAGAGCAAAGAATCTCGGGATGCGGAGCTTAGATCTCTTCGGCTGCAAAACATGAAGAGCTCTGATATCATTTCACAACTCAAGGAGGCCGAGGCGGCAACGAGGACACTTGTCTCAAATGTTGAGAAACAACTAAGTGAAACAAAGGAAGCGTTGACCAGTCTAACGAACCAGTATCGAACGTCTCAGCACCAAGTCAACGAAGCAACCATTGTTATCCAGGGGTTGAAGTCACAAGTGGCTGAATTAAAGGGTCAACTAGCGACCAAAGATGCAACGCTCACAGCAGCTACGAATAACTGCCGAAAGGCGGAGAGTGAGGTCGAAGGCCTCAAGGTCACACTTTCGGATACTAAGAAGAGTTTGGAGTCCTGGAAAAGCCGTGGTTTGGGCAATAACACATCTGAATATGAGATGTTAAGAGTAAGCACCCTGTCCAGAAATTTTACTTCATTTATACTAACCACGGCAATGTCCTAGACTCTTGCCCTCTGCACAGTCTGCCGGCGGAATTTCAAGAATACTGTCATCAAGACCTGTGGCCACGTCTTCTGCAAGGAATGCGTTGAAGAGCGATTGACCTCCAGGTCCCGTAAGTGTCCGAATTGCAACAAATCCTTTGGCAGCAACGACCACATGCATATTACCCTTTAAAAACATTTGTTCATCTTTCTGCTTCCTGTACAGTATTGTTATATTTTTTACCCTCCCCCCCCCCTTTTTTTGGCCGTTAACTGCCCCTCATTATTTCACCTTTACTCCTGGCATTCTTCTTTTGGAATTAAAGAAAGGTTTCTTGCTGCTTGTGAGAGGTATCTGGGGCTACTCGGCGCTCAAAGGGAAAACTATTTGTCTCTTAATGTTCCCACCTTTTTTAATTCGTTGATCTGGTTTGGTCGGACGTGGTTGTGGAGTTTTTCTGCCTTTGTCTTCCCCTACACACATCGAGGTGTTTGATTTTTTGGCCCTTGGGGTCTGCTGGGCAGCAGGCCATTTCTTTTGCGTTCATGCTACGTTTACATGTATGATGTACAACGATGTACTAATTTTGAAGCCACCGAGTAATCATCTCGATGGCCTCTATTTACGGTCAAAACGAGAAGTAGTTTTAACACGTACTTTCCCGTTAACGTTGATTCATTGATAATTCATTGATATATACAAATAATTTGCCCTAATCAAGCACATGCGGAACTGTCAGGAGTTGAAAATCCTGCTATATAATAACTCATGTCTTCCCATCCACAAATCCATAATAGGGACAACCTGCCCTGCATCTTCAGGCTCAGTCCACCATTCTTTCTGCAGCAGCTCAGCAATGGTCTTTTGAAGTGCGTTGCCTGCAAGCACACCTTGGGATTGATATGGGCCCATAACAGATGCTCTCACTGCAGCGCTTAGGACTGCCTTAGCATGGTTAAGCATAAACACATATGCTGCTTGTTCCAGGTCAATGTCCAGTGCCAGGCATACCACTGCCCATAACGGAGCAAAATGGCCATTAACAGCACCATTAACCTCATCATGCTCTTCATCTACACCGACATTTTTCAATGATTCCGAGAACTGGTCCAACACCGCCACCGCGCGTACTGTGTGATGTTGGCTATCACGCTGGCCTTCTTGAATCCGTTGTATGGCTGATGATTTCAGTGCACGCTCCCATACCTGCAACATAGCGAGGCCTTGAGCAACACTCGCTCTTCTTGCGACTGTACATGGCGTTGATGCATCGAGGTCATTATCCAGTCTCTCCAATTCTTCGGGCTGTCTATGCGCTCGGCGGAGATAGGGTATTGTAGTACTTGCAATGGACGCAAGGGATAGTGAAAGGAAACGATTAAACGATGTAAATGGCGTTACATATGGTGGTAGAGGCTTGTGGTGAGCGATGTATGATTCCAAGCCGCTGGAGTAGGCGAACGAGCCCAGAGGGAGCGCAGAATCTGAGAGGAGTAGGAGAGAGTGGGAGATCGGAACGGATTCAAAGCTGGGGACTACATAGTTAACGGTTAGCCAGATGACCTTATCTCTAATCCGGTTATTTTGATTATGCAGATGATGGAAATACCCTGAGCTTTATCCCCGGCGGCATTTCTCGTCGGCTTCCGGCCTGTCGTCATGATCGGGATTGATGCATTAAAGGAGGGCCGTGTTCCCCTTGCGGCCTCCTGGTAACTACCCTTGAATTCTTTGACTGTCATTGTGGTGTTACCGGCGCAGTTTGATCAATATAGCAATCAAGGTAAGGAACTGTACAAGGGCTGTAGGAAGATGGAGGAGGAGATGTTTCTTATCGCCTGCTCTTATCGAGGCGTTCCTGGCAGAAAAGGGACAGAAGCTCACCGGCTTGGCCAATCAGACGCGAGCAACTTTCAACCTCCATCAACATTTTCACGGACCAATATACAGGAACATCCTCGACTTCCCTCTTGGCTTATGATGCGACTGAGAGTGATATACCTATAATTTGTGTATCTGCTATGTCCGGGCGCCGTCTTCTTGACGCCATCTCGTTTTTTAATGCGTCCCGCGGCATTGCGAAAAAGCACGTAGTGCTGCAGAGGCATGCCCTCGACCGCCATGCGCGGACATCATCGTTGACCAAAGAAGCGAAATCCCAGATTCAACGGATTAGCCTTGCGGTACAAGCTGCTTCTGACCTAGCAAAAAAGCTTGATGATGACCCTACACCTAGAGTTACTCCGGCAGATCATAACATTGCAAGAGGAAGGGGGATATCCAGATCTGGGCCCTCGAAGGTGGATAATAACGCCGGGAAGACTGGTACTAAGATAGAGTCTACGGAAGCTCCAGGCGTTGGCGTAGAGGCAGACTTTGCAACTGTGCCTGATGAGAGCCCGAACTCGGAACAGAAAGAAACTGTTGCGACCAATGAAGCAAATGAAATGTCAGAGGAGATGATGCAACAACTGTTTAGGAGCCGAAAAGTGACAAGATCTCTTTTCAAAAATCAGATACCTAAATCCGGGCAAGTCAACTTAAAGTCCGAGACTATTCCGGTGTCAAAGCTACAGACTGCTCGCCCTGAAGCTGTCCTAGAAACCAAGACACAGGCTGAAGACGTAAAACTGGATAGCGCAGGAAATGCAGAAGCCCAGAGTGATGTCATTCATACCAATATTGTCGCGCCTCAAGATGTTTATCAAATGGTCCAGTCGAGAGTCCCATCTTCTCGAATTGGGAGGCTATGGGAATATGGTGGGCTTGCAACCTCCATGGCAATGGGTGTTGTCGGGGCAGGCTTCCGTCGAGCTACAGGAGGCGATGACTCTGGCTCCTTGCTACTTAGCCCTGCTAATATAGAAAGATTAGTGGCTAAATTGTCCAAAATGAGAGGAGCTGCTCTAAAGCTAGGGCAAATGTTAAGTCTCCAAGGTAAGTAGACACCCTCTTGAGGAATTCTAAGATTGAAGTAGCACTGACTGTACGCATAGATTCTAAAGTGATGCCTGAATCGATTCAACTCGTACTTCATCGCGTACAGGACAGAGCAAACTACATGCCACAGTTCCAAAGGGACCAGGTACTCAGGGATAATCTAGGCCCGAATTGGCGAGATTTGTTCGAATCGTTTGACGAGGTTCCTATGGCTGCTGCATCAATCGGACAAGTCCACGGAGCTGTCCTCAAGGAAACAGGACAACGCGTTGCTGTTAAAGTTCAATACCCCGGTGTTGCGGACTCGATAGATTCGGACCTAAACAACTTGTCTATACTTCTAACTGCATCTCGTCTGCTACCCAAAGGGCTATATCTTGATAAAACAATTGCAAACGCCCGAACCGAGCTTGCATGGGAATGCGATTATATCCGCGAAGCAGAATGCGGTCGTAAATTTAAGGAGCTCTTGAAGGATGATACCCACATTTTTACCATACCCGAAATTATACCATATGCCTCTGGGAAACAAGTCCTTACCATGGAACGTTTGGATGGAATTGCAGTAACTCGGGTCCAATCTTTCACCCAGTCTCAACGCGATTGGATAGGCTCTCAAATCATGCGCCTCTGTCTCCGAGAGATTGGCGAATTTAGGTACATGCAAACCGACCCTAACTGGACCAACTTTCTCTACAACTCTGCTACTAATCGTCTCGAGCTTCTTGATTTCGGAGCATCCCGCGCTTATCCCGCAGCTTTCATATCCTTGTATGTTAGATTGCTTGCTGCCGCATCCCGGAACGAACGTGAAAAATGCCGTGAGCTTTCACAGGAATTAGGTTATCTCACTGGGTTCGAGTCCAAGGCAATGGTGAACGCACATGTATCGTCCATCACAACTATCGCTGAGCCATTTATGAAATCGTCTCCCGAGGTGTATGATTTCAGGGATCAAACTATCACGGACAGAGTTCGAGAGTTTATCCCGCTTATGCTACGCGAGCGCTTATCTCCTCCCCCTGAAGAAACCTACAGCTTGCATCGGAAATTGAGTGGCGCCTTTCTACTTTGCGCTAGGCTTGGTAGTAGGGTAAGATGTCGTGAGATGTTCGAAGAGACGCTGGAGAAGGTAGAATTTGTGGATGAGAGATATAAAGGGAGAGATGAAATACCTGTAGCTCAATAATTGTACAATACAGAATAAACGGCTTTTGTACGATAGATTGTAGAATTGAGATAAGCCGCAAGTTTTAAAGTTGTTTCCAATAGAAAGGAGTAACAGGGAAGAAGCAACGGAAGCTATCTGATTCTCCTCAACTCCAGGTAAGAAAAGCTATATACAAAGTTCATTGATCACATCCCAAAACATACAGGTATCAATCATATCGTTGAATCACTTCTAAACAAAGTCAATAGCTGGCTGGTTTGGATTTTGTGTTAGAAGAAAAAAAAAAAAAAAAAAAAAAAAAAAAGCCACATTTTGCCTATTGCTTGGGCTGTTGCTTCTCAAAGACCTCATTCCAGTACTTCTTCATGTTATCACAGACACCTTCAATCTTCTCCCAGGATTTGAATTTTTTCTCTAATTCGCAGGCAACCCACTTCATCTCCGACCAAAATTGTTTCTCGATACCGTCGCCCATTAGTTTTATCGTTTCCACTGGTACGCTCCAAGGTCGAATGAACTTGCCCGTGTGGTCTCGGACGGGGTCGATTGGGTGCTTTCCAAAGATTGTGGCAGGGTTGAACTTTGGAACATTGACATGGACAAAGAAGGGCCTGGGAGGCGGAGCAACAGAATCATTGAGGACACGCCAGAGTCCCTTTTGGGTCAGAACATAGTCTTCCGTTGGATCAAATTGAATCATGGCTGAACCGGCCAACCCAGCTGGTGACCGGTGTCCAATAGCACGTAGTCGCTCACTGACCTGGTAGAAATCATCCTCAACAACCGTAGCTGCAGCGAGGAAGGTCTCTTTATCTCCTTCTCCTGCGGCACCTTGGGAGAGAAGTGGATAAAAGTACTGGGGACCATAAAGGTTGTAGTATGCGGCAAGCAGCAATGTCTTTGCATGGTGCTTCTTTGAAAGCATAATTTCTCCAGATTCAGTCGAAGCCCGCTTGTTCATGTTGGGAGCTGGTAGCGAAGCGATGGTGTAGTATTGTTGTGCTGCGCTTGAGGCCCAGAAGTCAGGGAAAAAGACCATCTTTCCAGAAGAGAAAGGTTCCTTGTGGAATAGTTCATTAGGGTCGTGAAGAGGGAAGGCATCGGCATCAAGGAAAAGAAGCTCCTCGAATGATGAAAAGAGCATCGCGAATATCTTGTACTGGTAGTTGGAGATCGAGATCCCCTTGGGTGCAGTTTTGAACATGTTCTCAAGGACGACACATTTAGCTTGCAATGCAGGAAAGACCTGGTTGCAGATGTAAGGTTCGAACTCGGCGTTTGTGGCCAGGAAGACTTCCATTGGTAGGGAGCAGCCCCTATTTCGAAGCATGCGGAGGGAAACCGTCAGTACAGGGAGATATGGACCTCCAGCTGTAGACACCAGACCACGAGTACTCGGCGCATAATAAGGCCGATGACGACCGCTGTTAGCCTCGACGACGAAATCGGTATGGAGTTTCTTCATCGACAGAACGTCAGCTGCGGGCATCCTAATGTGATCTGGCCGTTTCTGATCATTCCGTTCAGGATGAAAGCCGATCTCACTCGTATCGGCTCTACCCTCTTTCTTCGGAGGCTGGCAAGTAGGTGCATATCGCTCTAACACAGGCTGGAATGCGCTCCAGAAGGAAGCATGGAGTTGTGGGCTGTTCTCGATGGGTTTCGACGGTGCATGGACAAGAGTCTTATGGTAACCCAGCGCAGGAACCGTCCAATTATTGTTTGACAGGTAGAGCAGTAATATCAACACTATCCCGGCGGATACGGCTAACCGGAGCCGCGTGCGGAGGGACATCATCGATATGTGCTTGGTTAAGGGACCGTTTTGTTTCCCCTTTCGTGACGACAGGAAGAGGACTTTCTGTTAATAATCCGATTTTACGTGTCAGTGTAGGTGCTCTTGCGCCGGTGGGTACGCAAAAGCCATAAGCCGGACAGGGGAACGAGTCGAGAGGCTTACCGCTCTATTGAAGGGGATCGTCGTCTTCCACGTCGTGATTATGAGCGAGTGTTGGTTATCATTCACATCTCGCGAACGGGGAGGGGGAGGAGAGGCAGAGACGAGAACGTCGACGTCGGTGTCTTCGTCCTACTTGGACTCGTCTGCTGGTCCAACTCCAGCGGCTGAAATGAAAATGCTAAGAAAACAAGCCAAGCTGGACGTTCAATAAGAGGCTGCACACGCTCGGTCACGTGGCGGCCGTATACGAGCCGTGAAACAAAGTCATCTTGGACGCAGAAGGAGAGCAGAAGGAGAGCAGCTGGAGAGACCGGGAGTGACCAGCAGAGACATGAAGGGACGTCGGGGACGAGGATGTCAAAGACGAAGGTGTCAGGCTGGCACTCCATTAATGATGAAGGATGGCCCGTTCGCTGGAGACAGACCTGTAGCTAGTTAAGTTAATTAGCTAGTGAGGCAGCTAATCAGGCCAGAGATTTCTTTTTGTCTCTGCTTAGGTGACGAGCTGTCGCACTGCGTAGTTACGTGGGGTCAGGGAGATGTCAGTACGGAGTAGAGTGTAGAGACAGTAATGGAAGAAGTACTGCCAGCGTACAGTAGTGTTATTCGACCTGTGCTCGCCACTTGGATCGTATCTATGAGATCTAGCTATTCGCCCAACCGTTCGTCTCGGTCCAAGACAAAGATTGAGCTAAGCTACAATGACGCTGCGTTAGCGTCCATTAGACGGCGAGATCTGAGACCTGATGGGCCCGGTTGGCTACTTCTCCAGCTGGAATCGTCTTTGCTGTCGCTTGCGTTGACGAACTGCGTGGCCCATTCTGACTTGACGGGAGCCTCGTCTTCCCAACTTTGCTTACGCTTTGGCAGCCGTTTTGGAACCGCTTCCGCTTCTGTTCTCGGCGATAGGTTGAGCAGGAGGCAGATGTAAGAGCTAGACAGGAATAGAGCCCAGCCAGTAGCAATACCGATCACTGCTGCAACACCGAAGAACTTAAATAGGGGCTACGCATAGAGAGTAGAGCATTAGCACACAGCTGCAGGGCGAGATCCTTGCGAAAAATGACTAGGAAGGGAGATCTAGCAAATTGATCCAGCCAAGCATGAAAAGCACTAGACGAAATGCCATTTGTAATATTCGATACGTACCTCCAGTTTCGTAGACAGGTGCCATGGTAGAAGAGAGATGTAAAGCATATGGGACGAGAGCTCGATCAGCGGAGCTGTCACGAGGCTCAGAATAGAAATAGCTATGTTCGAGAAAAGCACGACTGGATAGACGACATAATACGTCAGAATTGATGCCCATCCCATCGTTCGGTCCTGGAGTAGGCTTGATATGCTAGGCTGGTATAGCGGCAGCCCCAGAATCAAGACTGCACATAGAGCAACACCTAGGTGGGCGACCATCTGCCATCCTCCATACATTGAAAGTAGGGGCCGCAGGCCAAAACAGTAGGCAGCTCCTTTTTATTTCCGGGGTACTCTGTATCAACTGCCTTTAAAGCCGGGGTATTCTTAGTGATCGCGTGAGTGTTTTCGGTTATCAAACACTAAACTGGGCGTTCGCCAGTTGTTTGCATTCTCAGGTAATCCAGATCAGCCTGTCCCATGGCGAATGAGGGATAAAGGCGATAAATCCATCAACCGAGGAGGGCGTCTATCTGCAACCGCTCATCCGTTTATATCTAGGCAAACGAGAAAGCCTGCAAGATGTGAGGTTGCGGCCGCTCTTCAGGGAGGTCAGATCGATGGGGTTTACAGCCCGTTCCATGGCGAGGGAGGTCGGGAGCGGAAAAATATGGCTCCGGCCGCTTGAGGCCAAAAAGGGAACGCCAGGCGGCTCTTCCATCGCTCCCGTCTGTTCGACGATCGCGAGATAGAGATGCAAGCAAGGGAGACGCCGCATACTCCTGTGTCGACGCCCGAGGTGCAATGAACTGAGCTTGTGCTCCCTCTGGCTGATCTGGCAGAGCTGTTTAGGCCCCATTTTATGAGCGACTGAGGCGCGAAGCCATGGGGAACGCCCCTTCGAAAGCCCCCGGTGCGACGGCCGGCGTGGACAAGAAAGTGAACCGCAGGACCTCGATACAGGCGCTGTCCGGCTCAAAGGCGCCGGCCGCAGACCCGTCGCATTCGAGGGAGAGCGCTACCGGTCACCATGCTGCCTTGAAACAACAGACGCCCGTCCACCAGCGGCTGCAGTCACGGACGGTCGAGACACCCAGCTTTGGCGGGGAGAGACTGGAGCGTCATAACTCGCGAAAACATCGCGATGGCGACCAGTATGATCTTCCAATTTACTCTCACTCCCGGGGTTCACAGGCTGCTCATGCGCAACAGGCCACTCCGGCTTCTGATAACGTTTCAAACGCCCCTTCAAACCGTGATCAGGGCGAGGCCCTCTCGACTCCTAGGCCAGTCAACATATACTATGCCACCCCTTCCAACCTCACCCGGCCTCCACGACTACCCCTACCCATCGGCGATGCCATGACAGCACCCGGTTCCCCGATCACAAGCGGCTCGCTAGGTGCCGCAATGGCATTCGACAAGGCAAATCCTGAGGTGTCGCCCGAGAAATCGGAATTGGATCCTGCAGTTGATGAAGACGACGTTGTCCAGGATGAACTGGATTCCATTGTCCCAACGGGGTTTAACAAGTCTGTTCCCACGACTATCGACTGGAGAGGCGGCGGCGAGAAAGTTTATGTGACTGGTACATTCGTGAACTGGGCAAGGAAGTTCAAATTACACAAAAGGTTGTTTACCATCCACTTCCCGAGATTGAGAAAGGGAATAATCCTGAAGATTGTTTTTTTGACTAAATTTTATTAACCGATTGAACATAGTGATATTGAAAATGGAGTGTTCACGACGGTGCTTCAGCTACGGCCCGGCACACACCATCTAAAGTTTATAGTAGATGGCACTATGCGGACATCAGATCAATTACCTACTGCAGTCGATTTCACAAATCACTTAGTCAACTACATCGAAATAAGCGCAGATGAAATAGAGCGACCGCGGAGAGAGAGTGATAAGCAACCGAAAGTCATAATACCACCCGAGATTTTCCCCCCTAAAGTCCTCCCGGAGTCCCTACCCATCGACACCACGGAGCCTCAGGAAGAATCAGACAAAGAAGAACCGGAGGAAGAGATCCCAATGGGTGACTTTCGTAATATCATTCCTCAATTCCTGGTTGACATTGACCGCAACGAAGACGGTGAGGGATACCACCAAGCTGCCAACGTTATCCGGGATTCACGAGCTCCGCCTATGTTACCCCTGTTCCTGGCTCGGTCGATATTAAATAGCACAACTCCTATGAAGGATGACAACAGTGTGCTTAATTATCCCAATCATACGGTTTTAAACCACCTGGCGACCAGCAGTATAAAAAATGGAGTCCTGGCAACTAGTGTCACAACTAGATATAAGCGAAAAGTACGACCTTCTCCCAATTTCCATGCTTCTGCACCTTACTATTCTGTCCTACTACATTTATACTAATGGTATTTTTAGTATGTCACGACAATCTTGTACAAACCAACTGGGCCAACAACATGATGATGTTCTTGGTTGGTTTTCCGGGTTCCATGCTCCTTATACCCCATTTGGGTTGAAGTACGGTCAAAATGACGCACCTCCTATTCATCCTGCATCTGCCGAGCCTGCCGTTTTTTCTTTTCTTTTTTTTTTTTTTTTTTTTTTTTTTTTTTTTTTTTTTTTTTTTTTTGGGGGGATGGGTAGTGCCTCCTAGTCATGTCATATGTTTCTTATATTTTTCTCCCGGGATGAATATTTAACGACACAAGTATATGCATACTTTTCTATTTGGCTGACAGACACCAAGCATTGGATACGCGATGGAGATACCCAAAGGAAGGACAGGCGGGGATTGGTAGTACGGTTAATGCATCCCACAGTATCTTCAGAAATGGTCAAGGCAATTTAATCTGCAGACAGAAATGAAGATACAGATGCTTTCATTTTCTCACCTATTCATTCGACCTTCAACTCTTTTCACTCGTTCCTTGTAAGGACCTTCCCTGGATATTTCATTTCCAAGCAGCCTACCCTGCCAATGGGCCAGAACCAAACACCTCGTGAACAAGCAAAGGATTTGGAGAAAGGCTGCAGCCATGAGCCAAAAATAGACGAGGTGTGTATCTCAGGGCTCGGGAAACTTATTACAAACTCGGCTAACATTGGCTAGGAAGCAATTCGTTGTTACACAGCAAGCCCCAAGAGGAGTGAAGTCAGCGCAGGGTAATTAAGAGCACTATGGTTTCACTTGCTCTTCAGCTCGCTTTCCATTGATCTTCCATCACGTTCAATTGAACCTTAGCTACGGTAGATGTTGCACACTTTGACTCGCCATGTATGAGGTACCCAGGCATGAGAGTGAGGTTAAACCGTCGTTCTGCTCGTTTGGCGTTCTGATCTGTAGTGGCTCAGCACAGGCCATAGAGTTTTGCTGGACACTGGATCAGGTTCGAAGGTATGTCGTATTCAACTTGCCCGTTACTGGCGTGACTTGCTTATCACTGCAGGTTAAGTCTTTTTTTCCTGATAATGGCCCAATATTATGCCGTGTATTAGTGAATTTACCTAAGCTCTTTTTTTTCCCTTCTCTTACATAGGCAGCCTGGACTATCGACATATCACACTCGGGCTGCCCTGTTGTCACCAATGTCCCTTAGCCTGACTGAATGCCTTTGATTCCTAGCCAATAGCCAATAATATAACAAAACAATCCCATTCAACGTTGGCCCAGCTGCCAGGGGTGTATCTTCCCCCGTCCTACTAACAGGTGGTTATAGTGGCAACCTTACCATTCCGATATAACCTACGATATTTTCCCTGGATTGTCAATATTACCTCGTCGTCTGCACGGGCCGATCTGGACACTCAGATATATAGGAATCTGTGGCTCTCCCGTATTTTCTGTCTAACCACTCAACTCTCTAGGCCGGCCGGCTGGGCCGCCAAAACTTTCCAACCGCAACAATCCTGCGCTCTGCGCCGAAATGCTATGCAGACGATAATATTATCTTGCTATCTATTTTGCTTCCTGATGTGATACGGACAGTCTGTCCCACCGCTGATACTGCTCTCTTGCCTGTGGGCGAAGTTACCATACAACGTGGTTTATTTAGCCTTGTTGAGCCGCAATTACCCACTTTGTGCCTTTACTCTGCGGGAGCTCAGCTGATACCACGATCTCCCTGGAGTAATACAAATGCAGCCCGGACCAATCAGCCTAAACTTTCTCCCTGAGACAGTGGAAACAAACGCCCGAAATTCGAGCTGTCCATGATGGGTGGTATCTGGGTCGTACAGTATACGATCTGCTGCTTTACCAAGGACATCATCTGCGCCTTCTATTTAAACTGCAAGCCTACTAGCCAATAACGCCTGGTATCTCTGATGGTTTCAATATCTACCGACAACAGGTTGATCGGGATCTGGAAATGATTTACAACTGGAATGATGGCAATCTGCTCTTCCAGCGTGGGGAAAGAGACTAGACAACTACGGCGTAACACAGAATTGATTAAGAGTGGCTCGTATACCCTTGATGAACTGTTCTGGGGACGTTTGTTTGCGAAGGATACAACTCCTCGGGGATAACTGTGAGAGGTATTAAACGGGATGTATGCACGATTCCATGGCTATTTAAGAGGCCTTCATCTCCCCCCTATTAAGCCAGGAAATTCAACAGCAAGATCGGACAACAACAGCAACAAAAAGAGAAAAATCAGGATAACAGCACCAAAGAAACTACCCATAAAACACAATGAAGTTCTTCGCAGCCCTTTTCCTCATCCCCTTCCTCGGAGGCGCCCTCGCTGCTCCCAGCCCGAGTGAAATGATCGCGGAGGCTCCGATGCAGGAGAACTCTGATATGGATGCCAGCTCCCAGCTCTTGTCTGTTACTGCTGCTCAGTGTCCTCCCAGCCATCCCTTGTACTGCCGTGCATACAACTTCTGCTGTGTCAGGCAGGCAGTCTCCTGCTGTCCAAGGGCCTGCTGCGCCCGTGGCACTACCCACTGCGGAAGCGATGGCCACTGCTACCGCCGTGGATAAACTATATCTTCAGATGCTAATGCACGGGTGAGTTCTCCGTCTCTGTCAAATAAATATCTTGAGGCCACTGACAAATTCATAGAGCCAGCCTCGGTCAAGTTGGAAGTTTACGATAAGCCCACGAACATCTTCTCTTTCGTTTAACTGAGTTTCCTCCCTCCTTCTGATGACAGAAACCAGCGGGTATCAAAGGACAATGTCAGTATAGTGGTGGTTGACATAACTATGGTGTTTCAAAAAAATTTTGGGGCCCCCCCCCCCCCCCCCCCCCCCCCCCCCTCCTTTTTGAATCTGAATTGATTCACTGTTGATCTCCACGAGACGCTTCAATCTTTGTCTCCGCTGGATTTAAACTTAGGTAGCTCATTTATTTATTTTCGGGGTTCAATAATGCAAAACATACCTAGCTACCCATGAGGTCACCGAGGCTCTCTTGGTCCGTGTTAAAGTTGTGCTCAGTACTCCATAGAAGCCATGGCTTTAAAGGTGAGCCATCAGTAATATTGATAGTTAACCTAGATTGATTCATAACTATTCCAGAGCTACATAGGACCATGTCCATGTCCATGTATGCTAGCATCCTACAGCTCCCCTAGGGCGGAAAACTACGGACGGACGCAAATATAGCTAAGACTAGAACAATTGGTGTGATACATATAGATTAATTATCGGATATGTAAACCCCGTAGAAGCCCTGGAAAGAGAGAGAGGTAGAAGCGGTGATATATGTACGGAGTAAGTATTATTATTAGTTAAGGGTTTATGAACGAGGATAACTAGGTTAAAAGAATGACCCATGAACCCCTATTCTCCATGCAATGCAACCAGCCGCCCCCGATGCTGTTCCCAGGCTTATACCGCCCGTTATAGCCTCTAGCGGCTTCACAACGATGGCAGGTTTCTTATTGATAGCTGTTGCTGCGCTGGCGGCGGTTCTGCCCTTCCCAAGTGCCATCGCCCCCAGGCCTCCGAGCACTCCTCCGGCGGCAAGCCACTTGTCGAATTCACACTGTCCTTCACTCCCCAGCAAAAGCCAGGCTCTGTCCTGCCACTCGATGTCTTCTTTCCCCCACATCGTTGTCGTGAGCATCACGCCGGAGATCAGGAAGCCAGCTATACTTCCGCGACTGGCGTGGATGAGGAGTCGATTGGCATGCCGGGACGAGAGGAGGGCAGATGGTTCTTTGTAGAGTGTTGTCAATGTTCCCGATAGGACGGAGAGGATTGAGCCAGCAGCCAGGCCGCTGCGGAGGACGTGGATAGTTAAGATCGTTTTGGAGTGCTCTTGGTCCTCGGGGTACTCTGAATGTGGGAATAGCTTGTCCATCTCAACTACTCCTGCTCTTTAGCGTCAGGCGCTGCTTTCCTTTTGAACGGATGTATGGAAGTAGGTATTATTGGGTGTTCTTGATGAGACGAGTAACTCTAGCGAACGAGAATATGTCTGCCCGATACCTTTTTTATGCCTTCTTTGTCGATCAGCATTCCTCAGCTTACTCAGAGCGGCCTTCTTTCGCTCTCGTATTCTCAGTCCTCCTCCCCAGCTCCATCATCTAATATCTCACAGTGGAAGATAATAGGAAGAGGATGAATAGAGGGGAAAGAGAGGCGTCTTAGACTGCGCCCTGCCGATATACACACATATATACAATATGTCCACAAGTTATCGACGTATCCCTGTGCGCAATCATCAGCCAGGCAAGCTTATACTGAGACAAAACGAATCTCGATAGACCCAAATTTCGAGGAGCCGAGGAACGGGCCGTGAGCTAGGTTTCGAAGCCATATTTTTAGTGTTGGCTTTTCGCTGCCTGCTGGGCCTTTGCTCAAAGAAGATGCTCCAAACGGCGGAGAGCTCATGGTTGGCCGCTCGATCTAGCCCTGGAGCTACCCAACGGAGCAGCGGCGGGCACAGGCTGCATCTGCATCTCAAAGGGGCCGGGGACTGGGGGGAAGAGAAAGGCCATAAACCCGCCACAGACAGCTGCCAATAGATAACGGCGTCGTACCAAATAAAAAAAGGGTACCCGTTTCTTTTTTGCCCGTTGCTTTTTCGTTTATTCTCCCCTTCGAGCAAAGAAAATCCCGCCAGGACTCCGTAGTTAGTGCGAGGGGATAATGCAGAGAGAAGGAAGTACGGAGTACGGAGTAGTACGCAATCCCCCAAGGTCGACGGACGCTCTCCTGCCAGAAACGCGGTCTGCCATGGGCGAGCGAGGAGTGCATCTCCAGACGAAAGTAAGTAAGTACCAGGCGGTGGATTTGGCCCCTCTGCACACCAGGGGGGTTAGCTCTCTTCTGGAATCCAATAGTTCGGCGGGGATGGCATGCGCAAACCCTGCACGTAGATGGATGTCGAGTCTCAGATTCCTTGTTATCACGGAGGGATCTTAAAGTAACTGCCTTATACAGAGGTCCTTTCCAGCCATCCTCAGCCTGGCTCTGGCGCTCGGTCATGGTCTCCATACCGCCTGTCTGTCCTCGCCCTGTCTGTCTGCCCGGCGGTCTTCGCTACTCTCTTGATGTCTGCTGCGATATGTATCTGCTCGGCCAACTGCTGCTCATATCACAAGCTGGCGGCCAGCGAGCATGTCGATGCAGCCAGGGCCCAGCCGTGGAGAAACACTGGTGAAACAGCAGCAGCAGCGTCGTGAGGCCTAGCCTGTTCCCGAGTACCACCGCCCCTGTTACCCGTACCTTTTAAACACCCACAGGGAAGGCCAAAAAGGTCCCCATTCTGATAGCTGCTGTGTTAATGCCGTCGTTGTATATGCATGAGGGACGCAAGCGAAGCGACATCCGTAACTGTAAGTAAGCCTGTAGGTGCTCCGTAGTAGCAGTACCTCTCGACGCCGGCGGCCGCCAGGCTCCGGACGGTTCGTAAGGCCCAGCAGCATCGAGTATCCTTCCTTGAAAAAGGCCGTCCTGTAGCTCAGCGTGTCAGAGGAGATGCGCAGAAGTCGCCTTCGCGGATTGCTCCTGTTTCAGCTTTCGACAAAGCCCCCAATTGTCCCTCTCCCCTTCTTCGCTCTTCTTATATTGCCGTGCAGAGGGAAAAAGCAGGCCAGTCCGTCATCCGTTACGCTGGTCGCTTTGCTTGCTGGATAGTCGACCCTCGCCCGTATACGCTTAGGTATATACCGCCTGGGGGAAGCTCGAGTGCGTTGTGCGTGTGTGATTCGTGAGGCTGTTGCAGCTAGCCGCCGCGGATTATTGACGGCGATTCCTTTGCACCCCGTTCGCATTCTCGACAGCCGGCCTCTCTCTGCCTCTCTCTCGCGCTGCCTGTCACTGTCTGCGCCCTCTGTAATCCGTCTTTCTCGTCCTTGCAGCCCGCCTGAGGCATGTCGCTGTCGCCTGCCGTGGTGCTGCTGTGAGCCTCTCGTCCCGGTGAGTAACCGCCGTCCCTACAACTCCAGCCTTCTCCAGCGCGCAGAGCCAGCGGCGGCAAGCCCAGCGTCCGCCTGTCCGTCTGTCCGACGGGCATCTGTCTGTCTGTCTGTCAGAGAGTCTCAGACCGAGCAAAAGGCCCCCTCCCTTCCCCCTGATACCAGGTTTTTATTGCTTTTGACGGCCCCCTCGTCGTCCCTTGTATCGCTTCTTCCTCTTCCCGCCCGCCACGGTATTCAAAACCTCGTATGCCAGGGGATTAAGGGATCGCAAGTGGGCTTCAGGTCGATGCGATCTCTGGCTTGCCGTCACTCTCTGCTGCCTGGGGTTGATTAGCTTCTTCTCGTCTTCTTTTCTCTTCTGCGTTGTCGTCGTCGTCGTCGCTGCTACCGTCTCACAGCGTCTGCTTCTTGTCACGGCGGCTAACAGTGCGATCGCGCAGCAGGACAGGAAGACAAGACGACCCTCTATACAGAATTGCTCTTCGCGCTCGCTTGCTCCTCTCGATCCTACATCTTTAGCCATCTACCTGTTTTAGGCGGCGTTTGCGTACCGCAGAGTCGAAGTACTCCGGCTTTCGTCTGATATCAAACCGCCAACACCTCGACCACACACCAACGTCGATACACCCCGAGACAACAGAGATACAGCAGAGGACTCCCTCACTCCGTTACTCTCGG